GGACCTGGAACAGGAGATGGGCGCAGGGTTTGAGAAAAAAGATGCTAGACATTTATCATTTTCTTTATCATTATTGATATTCTCATTCTTTATATTCTGTGTAGATGGATGGATGCATGGATGGATGGATGGATGCATGGATGGATGGATGGATGCATGGATGGATAGATAGATGGATAGATGGATGATGGATGGATGGATGGATGGATGGATAGATATATGGATGGATGGATGGGCGGATGGATGGATTGTGAACCTAAAAACATGCTATTTATAAGACATTTATGATTTTCATTATCATTATTGATATTCTCATATATCAATATTCTGTGTGGATGGATGGATGGATAGATGGATGGATAGATGGATGGATGGATGGATGGATGGATGGATGGATGGATGGATAAAAGATGGATGGATGGATGGATGGATGGATGGATGGATGGATGGACGGATGGATGGATGGATGGATGGAAGGAAGGATGGATGGAAGGATGGACGGATGGATGGAAGGAAGGATGGATGGATGATGGATGGATGGATGGATTGATAGATGCTTTGTGAACCTAAAAACACGCTATTTATAAGACATTTATCATTTTCTTTATCATTATTTATATTCTCATTCTTAATATTCTTAATACCATCCCTTTACTTTCAGTCCAAGGAAAGGCAAAAATGCACAACTTCTATTTAAAATGCCTAATAATTATTCAAACTTTTAAATTAAGTTGATCATCGATAGTCGATTAACTGTGAAAACAATCAGAATTATATCCCGTTCAAGAGGAAGGACGGTCCAAAGGGGAAATCGTGCTTTATTGGAATTATTTTCTAACTAAAACCAAAACGACGCCACATAAAACTGGCCTTTTTTTTTGCCTTTTTTTGCTTTACCTTGTAGATGATTCCAGCTACCAGCGTGTACTGGCTCATGGCGGAGTTGTGGTACAGGTAGCAGGAGCCCTGCTCGCCGCACTGGTCCTGCCACAGCAGGCAGGAGATGTCGATCACTGAGCCGAACGCTATGGGTCCCGGGATCCCGCCTGGGGGGACACCAGGGGACAAACACACATCGTTTTGGGTGCTCTGAGGTTAGAATTAGGGTTGTCAAAAGTGTCGATACTAAAACGATTCGCCCCTTCTCTCTGATTTATTTATTTATTTACGTTGTTTGTGATCGTTAACATGGCGTTAGCCTTGAATTGCTAGCTGCGGCTAATGGCTAATGACAACATGCCAACATTAATCAAGTCTGCAGGAAGCCAAGGATGGATATCCAACCCCCCCACATCCAAGTCGGCCATTTAGATTAGGTCACAAACAGGAAGATTCCAGGCAAAAAACTCCTAATTGCTTCATGGCAATATAGACATTAATTTAAGAATAGTGGAATTAATCTTGCAAACAATGAATTAAACTCTATACATAATATTATGTTAAAATAGTGGATGTTAAATAGGTTTGTACATTAAGTCCAAACGGGTTTAACCAAAAAATAATTATTTATCACAATTATGAAGGGTGGAGGGTTAGGGTTAGGGTCAGGATTAGGGTCAGGGTTAGGGTTAGGGTCAGGGTCAGGGTCAGTGTTAGTGTTAGTGTTAGGATCAGGGTCAGGATTAGGGTTAGGGTAAGGGTCAGTGTTAGGGTTATGATCAGGGTCAGGATTAAGGTTAGGGTTAGGGTCAGGCTTAGGGTTAGGGTCAGGATTAGGGTTAGGGTTAGGGTTAGGGTTAGGGTTAGGGTAATCTACCTTCATAATATCAGTAACAGGTCAGTTTGAAACCAAAGACACTAACCTGTCAAAAAATCAGTTAAATTTTGGGTTCTTTGTTTTTATCCTTGTGGTTTTGAAAATGGTATCGAATATTTTCCTGAGCATCGGTATCCAGTTGAACATTTTAGTATCGCGACAACCCCGAGTTAGAAGCGGACTTAAAGAAAGAACGCTGACTTAAAGAAAGAACGCGGAGTATCGAGTTTCGAATATTTTCCTGTGTATCGGTATCGAGTTTTAGTATAGTGACAACCC